CAAATCTGGGAATTGTCTAACAAGCTAATGGGTTAACTACTTGTACGCTTGTTAATTTTCCCCAGTAAATTTCATTCATATTTGTAGTTCCGTGAGGGCAATTCGAATATCGCTGAATCGATGACCCAAATTAATATTTTATATTATTAACGTGCACTCTCGATGAAACCGGAAAACGTTTACCAAAACCAGCTTTCCCGTTCATTTCCGGCCGCCATCATTCCGAATGCAACAGTCCATTACCTGCAAATCACGTCCGACCATGATCCAGATTCATTACCACTCCATCAAATTGCACCTAGTTGAGGGAAAAATCGGCCACCGATGCTAAATTTACCCGGCCAACCGTACACCAAGCACACCCCCTTTACCATGGCCAAACAGGCAGAAGAAAGACCAATAATTAGGGGCTATCAAGTGGGACTTTTAAAAGCTCGAAGCCTCTCCAAAACTGGTTCAAAATTTCCAACCTTTTGGCCGATGGCGGTGGTGTGTTCCGCTGACCAAATAAACCGACGAAACACACTCGCAAAGAGAGACAGCGAGAGAGGAAGAAAGATGCATAAATTAATTACCGTAATTTCGTTCCGAAGATCATTATCATCTGCCCGAGTGACCCGATATCGGCCGATCAAATGCTAATACGGTGAAGCGAATGACATAACCTCCAAAACCAATTAGCAGTGAAAATTCCAAAACTGGGCCAAAACTCATGAAGATTCAAAACAACAAAAAACACTAATGACCAGCATCCCGTTCTACACTGAAACTAATAACCAGACATCCATATATACGAGAAAAACAGTTAGATAAAAATCACTTCCTGTCCTACTGGACTCCCATGAAAGTGATAGGGTGGGTCAAGTTTGTATGCCGGATCAAAACCCTTTGCTATTTTGATCTGCATTGAGGTTTCCAACAACTGCGCCAAATTTGAACGATTTTGGCAACGATCCGGATTTGCGGGAAAGGTTTAAAGTTTGTATGGGAAAATGTATGGAAAACGGAACGAAATTGTTCAGTTGCTTGTCAAAAATTCTAAAGATGCTCAATTTTAGCCGGGGGAAAACTAGGCAGAACAACTTTATCGAAGACAAGCAATTGAATATTTTTGTTCCGCTTCCCATGAAAATTTTAAAGCAATCCAGATCAGAACCAAATTCGGTAAAATTTGACACAGTTTTGTTTTTATATAATTTTTTTTGCTAGGCGCAAATGTCCAAAGGACTCTACGGAGCCGAAAAAACAGAATTTTTGTTTAATTTGGCAAAGTTGTTGTGGGCCTCCCAATAAAGATCGAAAGAACAGTGGGTCTGTTCAGTTGACCCACCCTAATGATGATACTATTTTGGGAAATGAAATCAAAGCCTACTGCGCTCCGAGCCACATCGCAGATGGTTACTCACGTTCGTTAATTGCAGTGCAGTGCTAAACACACAACAATATCACATCATGTGAATTTTTATTTAGCAGCCGTTATCTCATCGCTCTCATCTCCCGAAAAGGTTCGGGGATTGAGTGTTAGTTTTCTTTCAGTTCGCCTGTAATTGAGATATTCGAAGTTGGATTGCCGGTTCGGTACACGCGTGCTCTGGCAACGTTGGTGAAGATCTCACGTGTCTCGGGTGCAAGTTGGGAAATAGAGATTGGATTTTTGAACGTACAGTGAATCAGAAAATTGCTCGTACGACTGTTCTTATGTTAGGAGACAGCTGTGAACAGTGGTGAAAACCCGAAAAAAAAGGTAATCGTTTGAGATTTGTGTGAAAACTTGATTTTAAGTAGGGTAGAGCACTACTTCGTCGTAATCGCCCATTTCCGTTCTATCGATCAGAAAAGATCAATAATATCAATGATTTCACCATGCACAAAACAATAATAGGTTTGTTCTCAAAACAAAAGAAGCGCTCCTAGCGAATCCCCATTTTCTACGTTTATCCGTAGGACGAAGAAAATCTAATGGCGTTTCAATGCGTTAGGACGGAATTAAAACTCGTAGAACGAATTTTGAATCAAGAAGCAGTATTAGATTTAAAACCTTATCTCAACAATTTGTGACTCTTTATTAAATCCAACGGTACGTATGGAATGATGAATAAATTCAGAAGTCATCTTTGAGACAAATTTTCCATTTGTTGTTCCAACCCGTTCAAAAAAAAAAAGGATTTAAACCGCGGATTGTACTTAGTAGGACGGAAATTAGATCAAAAACCCTTTGGGTGTAAATATCCGGGAAAGTTTCTTGAAATTGAATGGTCTAAATGTTGACGCTATTTAGATTTAGATTAATCCCTCTAGAAGTGAGATGATTTTTTTTTCAAATATCAATATTAAGTTTTTGGTGTCTTCAGAAAAGTTGTAGGGGAAATGTTTGCTTCGGCAATACCTTAACCTATTATCGTCAGGGGGTAAACAACGTCCTTGAGAGCTCAATTTTGGCATGTGGATACATTGTTTTTCAGAGTATCTATTGGCCAAATTTGAGTGCTCTAGGACTTTGTTTACCCCCTGACGATAATAGGTTAAGGTATTGCCGAAGTCAACATTTCCCCTATAACATATTATTACAAGAAAGTTTGCTAAGGACATCAACTTTCTATGAGCTCGTTTAAGTTAGTTAAATCGAAGACAACATATCAAAAAGACTGGCAACTTTTTTATAATCTCATACACACGCTATGAGACAGGTACAATCGCGCCATCTGCCTCTCAGAGGTAAATGTTTCGAACGAATTTGATAGCAAAGATCAGGGCGTCACAATATCAGCTTCAATCGACCAAATCGATGCGACGAAGAGACTGTTGGCTTTCTTTTTCTGTTAAAGTCGAACAGAATCGCAGCATTTTAGAACCTCAGTCGGTGTGCACAAACAAATGTTCAATCGCTTGTCTCTCTTTCTCCCGTCGCTCCATTGGTCTTTCTTCCAAGCTTCGGTGAAACGGATGAGCGAAAGAGCGCTCGACTTTGATAGTTTTCTCTATCATGAAACACATCAACAGAGGTTTCATGACGTATGTGACGGAAAATGAAAATATATATTTAAAGTATTTCTCACGTGAAAACACTGGAAGATTACACGTAATATGTTTAATTTATCTTCCAACCACATATTTATCTAGAAAAAATTAACGAAAACGGGACATAACGCATTTTAAACCAATTGAAAGAGCGGTGATAGAGTGTTCGTGAAAGGGGATTGAAAGCCATAATGAAAATCGACATTACTAACATTGAAAGCGATGAGCAAAGCAACGACGAGAAGATCCACAGCCAGCCTTTCCTTCTAAGCGTGCTTCTTTTTCATTTTCGTTTCTTGCTGATAGTCTAGCTAGGCGTTATAGAAATGAAGCGTTGAACACGTTTGTATGAGAGAAAAAAAAACTCGAGGTCATTTTAGAGCTCCGACAATGTAGAGCCCTGGCAAAGATTACATCATCAGAATAAAGATTTGTGTATTTGCTCATTTTTCTATGCGATGCTTCCACCTTCATTCAAGCGCAGCGCTACTGTATCTGTCGCTTGGAGTCTGGCAAAATTTGATTTGAAGTCTTCGGTTAAATCGTATTTTTCATATATGACCTCCTAAAATAAATTTGGTATGCTATACAAAATTGTGCATAAAGCAAAAATACACAACTTTGTAGAACATGGTATGTCTTTATTTTTGCTTATTTCAAAAATATATCGCTGTTTAACAAAAAATAAACCATTTTTGAGCACGAACTACTCAAAGGGCAACCGATGGCGGATTGAATGTCAATCTATCCAACAGGACACTTTTCACAAAAGTTGATAAAAGTACATTTTTCGTAGTGTACCAACAGCGTACCATATATAGACTGTCTAGTTATAGACATGCGGATGCAAAATCCGTAGATCTGGCAACTGAAAATATACCACCATGAATTTGCCAGCACTGGAAAAAGTTCAATCGCCTCATGACTCAAAGCAAAAATCAAAACAAACCGATTTCGGCAGCTTCCTCATTACTTCCTCATTCGTTTTTCACCTGTTTCCGTCGGCTAATGTCCCAAAAATGAAGTGCTTTTTTCCACATTGTGAAAATGAGTCCCAAAGCGAGCTCCAAAACGTGGTATTTTTTCGATTTCCGGTGAAAAAATCTGATCGCGAGTTGTGGCTTGGACTCTTCGGGTTGACTGCTGCTTTCAGACTCTCTGATAGTCACCGTTTGTGTAGTTTTTTTTTTAAATAAAATTTCAAAGATTGAGTGGTATATTTATAAAAAAATTCCCTTTGAACTGCATTTTAAAGAGGATGATTTGTATAGAGACACAGCTGGAAAGATCCGGAAGATCAATGGTGCTGTTCCGTGGTATCGAGCCGTCCCTCAGTTAAGTTCAGTTCCAGAACCGAAAACGCTATGCACTGATACAGAAGCTTCAGATTATGGCGAGGTGGAATACTTGGATGAAAGTTTCTGGAATTACGACTCGGTCGATGCTCTTAACACGGATCAAGTGAATTCAAATCTGTCCACGCAACGTGAAGAATTTTGTGAAGCTGCTGTTGACCTAAACGGATCGGATGCCGAAAATTCAAATCCACCAACACAGGAAAAGGCTTCGTCGTGCTATGAATGTTTTAACGCTGTTGAGTAAGTTTTTAATTATTAATTTTTGTGGGGTTTTATTTTGATTTATTGATTTTTTTTTCAGTCAGATTGACCGGTACAAAAACGAAAACCAGGACCTAAAAAGAAAACTAGAAGACTATGGGGACCAGTTGTCAAAAATTAAAAGCGTCGTGACCCGTCGTGACCGGGTTGAAGAAGATTGCCAAATGGTCAGACGACAGCGTAACTGAAGGATTCAGGACCAGATTGATTTGCGGTTCTACAGCATACGAGGTAGAGCGTAAAAAACGCTTTTTGCCTAGTACACGAACCCTCCAGGAGAAACTTCAAAACATACACTTCGACCATGGCTGCCTTGATGAAGTTTTGGAACTTCTACAGCACAAGGTGAAAAGCATGTCTGAAATGGACAAAGACGCTGCTATTGTCTTAGACAAAATAGCTATTCAGCCTGGCTCGAACTACTGTTCTAACTTGAAAAAGTATGTTGGTCCTGTCACACTTTCCGGTAACGGTGAGCTAGCGAACCATCTATTGGTATTCATGCTAGTTTTTTTGAGGTCCCAGTGGAAGCAAGTGGTTGGATACCACTTCACCGGGGATTCGATAAAAAATGGAGGAATCAAATCGATACTCTTCGAGTTAATCAACAGGGCTGAAGCGATAGGGCTGCAGGTGCATGCCGTAATAAATGATTGTGGAGGTATTTTTTTAGCTTGTCATAATAAGTTTTTTTTTTAATTAAATTAATTGTTTTGCTATTTTCTAGGAGCAAACAAGAAGTTGTGGAATGACATCGGCGTTAAACACTCACGTGAGCGAGTCATGATGAACACTCCGATTCCACACCCCTCCGATCCCACACGCACGCTGGAAATCGTACCTGATTCCGTTCATGTATTCAAGAGCATGATCCATGGTTGGATCAAAAAGCGAACAATTGAACTACCGGAAGCTGTGGTTCAAAAACATGCGTTGTCTGGTTCTACAGCAGATATCACCCACCTAACAGAGCTGGTTGCATATGAAGCGCATTGCGATTTAAAAATGGCTTGCGGGTTGACAGAAGACGACGTAAACTTTTCAAAACCGCACTCTAACTTTGACAAAATGAAGGTGAAAATGCTACGAAATACGCTAATCATACTGTGGTATCAGCATTGCAATGCTTCAGTGCTCAGAGTGGGCGGAAAGAGCTTTTGATTACGGCGCTCTTCCTTGAAATGGCGTCAACATGGTACTCGTACATGACCGCTAGAACTCCGGCTTTAGCACTCAGCTACAAGAACCAAAAGGCTTATGCTAATGCCATAAGTGCACTGAAAGACTTTAAGGAACTTGTGTATGGCTGCCGTGTGGGAATCAAGAAGTATTGGAAGCCATGGCAAGCAGCAATTATCCTCACTACTGACAGCATGCTTCGGCTCCACAAATACTTTTCGAATGTAAGGAAGTACGACTTCTTCTTGGGCGGTAGGCTTACGCAGGATTGCCTCGAGAATGTATTTTCTCAACTGAGGCAGCGCCAAATGCGGCCAACAGCACTCCAAACAAAGGACAACATGAAGCTACTGAGTATGGCGCAATACATGGCTGACATCAAGAATAGCTCGTATGAATGGGATTCGCGAGAATGGTTGGTGGGATTCTCGGATCGGCTGAAGGAAAGAACAGGCAAGAATTCAGAAGAACAGTTAGGCGAATTAGAAAGCTCACCAGCAGGTAGTTCGTCCTCTGGTTTTGTTGAAAGCGAAGAAGACCTAGTCCAGTACTGCGAGAACTTGTGCAGCAGATCGTCCGAACAAAATGTCGTATATTACTTGTCAGGCATGATTGTCAGGCAGGTATCTCAACGTGATTCCGTTTGTAAGCAATGCATCAACAGTTGTCTTGCAGAATCTTCGTTGGAAGCGGCATACACTTTGCCTCAAAGACTATACAGGGGACGCTTTAACAACCGTTAATGAGGCAACGTTCAATTTTTTTGTGGAACTAGAGGAAACGTTTAAGCAACAAAAAGAGATCTTGATGACTAAAAATGAGAATCTGGAAAAACTTTTGTGGAACAAAATGAATAGAATTCCAGCATCTCACATTGTCGACTGTCATGGATTGAAAAATAAGTTGATTAACAGATACATCCAGTTTAGGCTAAAGGTGAACCGCGTGAAACTAACAAGAGAAAAACGATGCGATAGTCGTTCAATGGCAATCTGAAGAATGTTGAAGCAATTAACTGAATAAATTATTCTGTAAAAATTCACAGTAGTTTGTAGTTTTATTTAATCTTAAGTATAAAGAACAAATCTGGTGAAACTTAATTCGTCAAATACACCTTAGTTTGAATGTTGGTTCTTAAATCTACTTAAGGACCAAGCTTCATCCAAACCGTTTCAATAATTTTTCATATTCGAACACTTTTCTCTGGAAAATCGAGGTAAATTGTTCTCACTCACTGCGTAAGCTTTTATCAATTTCAAATTTAACTAAATAATACGTTTTACTTTCGAAACAGAATATTCCAAATAATTTAATAAATCTTTAATATCCAAAATTACAATACTTCCCCCAACAAAAACGTGTGACATTTCTTCTACTCGTTTGGATACACGCTCTGACAGTTCTTTTGGATACGTCAAACTGACATCCGCATGTCTATAACTAGACAGTCTATAGTACCATAGCGTACATTTAAGAATTTTGAACGTACCTCTCAATTTCATTGTTTTAAGGGTGTCCTGCTGAATAAAGGCTGGCTAAAAGTAAATTGGTACGCCCTTCGCGCGTTGCTAGCACGCCTCTAGTGTTGGGAATCAAAAATCTGTGACAGTGGTTTGTTTACACTTCTATAGAGAACAACTGCTCCAACTTTGATCAAAGTAGTCGATCGCGTTCAGAAATAACGTCAAATGGAACTCAAAAGAAGAAAAATTATTGTGCACAAACACCTGGAAAATCCGGAGTGATCCGGTTCCAAGCTGGCTAAAGTGCTGAAGATGCCGAAAACAACAGTTTGTCGAGTGCTCAAAACCTAAAAGGAAACCCTGAGTGTGGGAAAGAATCAGCGGACCTACGAAAAACTGGAACCAGGGATCGTCAGCTGCGCAGCAAGGTCAACCCCGGTCTTTCGATCCGAGATGTGGCCAGAAGCTACAATGCCAACTTTCAAACGATGCGGTATATCCTTATTAGGGAAGGATACAAAGCCATTAAACATCCGAACCGGCACATGAAACAGAATTCCTTGGCCAAAAAGCGTGCAAGACTCTTGTACGGCCGTGTTTTGACGAAACACAAGGGCTGCACTTTGATCGATAACGAAACATACGTCAAACTCGATTTTAAGCAGCTTCCCGGTCAAAAGTTTCACATCGCGACTGGACGTGGGGATGTGCCGGGAAGATTCAAGTTCGTGTTTGCCGACAAGTTCGCGAAGAAGGCCATGATTTGGCAAGCGATTTGCAGTTGTGGCCTGAAAACGGAACCATTCGTCACATCCTCGACGGTGACATCCCAAGTTTACATCGAAGAATGCCTGAAAAAGCGTGTATTGCCGTTCATTAGCAAGCATAGGGGAAAAGTCATCTTTTAGTCCGATTTGGCCAGCTGCCACTACTCCAAGGTGGTTCTGGAGTGGTATGCTGACAACAAGATCGATTTTGTCCCCAAACTAATGAATCCTCGGAATTGCCCGGAATTTCGACCAATCGAAAAATACTGGGCAATTTCAAAGCAGCGATTTCGACGCCGCTTCGGGCAAGTCAAGAACATCCAGCACATGAGGGTCAATGGAAGAAATGCGCTGATTCCGTGTCAGTTTCCACTGTGCGGGTGCTGATGGGCTCCATCAAGAGGAAGGCTCGAGATTTCGTTAGAACTGGAGAAATGTAACCATCTAATACTGAAACTTTGAAGTTTTAATAAAAGTACTGTAAAGCAACCAGTAATGGACTTTTTAAACTTATCTAATCACGAATTACAAGTCTTTTTGTGCGTTTCAATTTACTTTTAGTCAGCCTTTAGACGGGTGATTTTTTTTGAACATCTTCCTAAAACCTTCCAAACCTATCACCTATGTAGTGTACCAATAGCGTACCTTCCAAATCTGAGGTTAATTTTTAACGTACCTAATTTACCATACTTACTTATGTAAAACTTTTTAAAATATATTATTTGTAAAATCTGACTTCGGATTTGGATTCCTCTGAAAATTTTAGTCCGCTTTGACTTAAAAAAAAACATATTACTTAAGTGTATTCTACTCTTGAAACGGTAGATCCACTGAACAATTGTTCGTCCGTCTCTTTGAGCTTTTCATATAAGGAGGTTCTCATCCCCTTTCCTTCAAACCCCCTCATATACATTATTGTACAGGACTTTGCAAGCATTTCTTACTGAATACCATGTTGAATTTTTTTTTCTAGAGTTTTAATGGGACTTCTGACATAATTAATCAAAATATGGCATTACTTACTATTTGGAATCCACATATCATAGAAAAAAGGCTATTGTTGGGCTTACCTGAAAAAAGGAAACAAATTGAAAATTAATATACTTGTAAATGAACATATGAAAAAACACGTGTAATATAATTATTTCGATGTTGAATATGATGTGTGTGTGTGTGTGAAGGTGAGAGAGGACCGATCAAACCGGAAACATAATAATCAATCAAATTGACCCACATGTCCTGGACAGTATGCTACACATAGATTCAGAATTACATACACCTCGAATTTCATAGCAAGTCGACAACAGGTTGGCAGCACCCTCTCAGATTTCAATGAAACTTTGTAGATGTTCAGACTGCACATACTTAAGCAACTTTGAATACTGTGATTTCTATATGGGGGTACACTTTGTGAAAACCAAAAATGGAACATGTAACGAAATTATGAAAGATTTTGAACGTTAATAACTCAGCTACCCCTGGACCAATTTCAATCATTTTATTACCAATCGATCAGAAATATTTCTACGCATCGATATCAGACTGTTGATTATTAACAAGAAACTATTGAAAAGTGGTAAATGTCAAGCATTGTCCAAAAGTGTCGAAATAACTAACAAATCCACCAATAACGTACATGCATATTAGACTGATGCAAAATTTGAAATTTTCGCTCTACAGTGTTCAAACGGTTTCAAATCGGGTCCTGATTAGCCTCCGAAAGTTTAAACTCATTTGATAAGAAACTGACTTGGCACAAACCATTTGAAGTTTATATGGAAATTACTATGGGAAAACAAAACGTTTTGTTCATTGTCTTCTAGCCTTTTCAAATATTGTACTTTGCAGAAAATCGTTTTTCAGCCAAACGTCAAATTAAATAGTTATTCATTGTTTAAGAGATTGATAATCTTATGGCAAGATTATGCAACTGAATTGTGGGTAACACTGTATTCTGCAGTGTGACATAGTAGCTATGATTTTTGTCCTCTATTCTACGCGCCATGAACACCAATGCTGCCTGCTGAACAGTTGATTGAGCATAATCATAAGACATCAGTGACTTAAATCATTAATAATATTTTTGTTCCTAACATTTGATCGAAAGTGGTCTTCAACAAAGTTGTAGCTGAGAAAATTTTCAACAAGCTCAGCTATAATTTTCTAAAGTAGAGTGAACTGGTAAATTTTGAGATAGATATGAACCGAAATTATGGTTTCTCCATAGTAATTTCCATATAAACTTCAAATGGTTTGTGCCAAGTCAATTTATCACTAAATGAGTTCAAATTTTGGGAAGCTAATCAGGGCCCAATTTGGAACCGTTTGAGCACTGTGGAGCGAATATTTCAAATTTTGCATCAGTCTAATGCATATGCTGCTTCCCCAACACAGTCATCAGAGAATCGTTACCAGACGAAACATGTCGAAGTGGCATTCGTCTCCGAACTTCGGGCGTGTGCGAATAGGGAGGATGCAATTGCGTAACATTTTGCAGACTCAACGCCATATTCAGATCCACACGCCCCCAACGACCACACAAGATGCTCTCCAGAATTGTAATCTTGTAACCAAACTTGGAAGCAGGGGTGCAAGTGATTTTGATCGATTCTCGACATCGACATCGACATTCATTGATACGTTTGTTGTTCTGGTAGCATAGCAGAAATAGTGCGAAATAGGTTAGTGAAGCCATGGTCATCAAAAGAGGAAATCGATGAAGAGAATTAACTTTCACGCCCTCTGCTTCTAA